AGCCCTGTGTTTAGACCACCAGATTATGCTGAACATTTTCTTGAACTAAAGATTTGTAAACAAATAAAATACCAATTCTCACATGTAATACTGTATTAATAAACTGGGAAAATAATAGAAATATATTAGTAATATAGTAACCATATTTAGAAATAAATTAATAATATAGTAACTATATTTTAAAAAATGACTTAACCCACACTGGTCTTAACCCGTTTGAACCAGTGTAGGATGCTGACCTTATAGGGCTGAGCTAATATCATTACATTGCTGTAGTTGCATATTCTAAAGGAGATAAGGCCGAACACTTTTCTTACAACATTTAAACTCTCTGACTTGTATTTATTCATAATTCATTCATTTCATGGTCAAAAGAGACAATTATGCTAATCTCATCTCACCTTCTGCATAAAATAATCTTTTCACCCAATAATCTCTTCATCAAGCCATCAACTTCTAGTTGAATGGGAGCACATCTTTTAGAAACATATCCAGTTAGAATTTAAAAGCTTCATGTGATGGGGAACCTGAGACACAGACATGTGCTAAACTGTCAGCACAAAGCAGCAAAACCCAGAGACCTGGATACCTAGTTTGGGTTACCTGAAAATAATTGAACAAATGCTAATAAGGCCATCTCTTTATGGGGTTTTGAAAAACCAAAAGCAGAACACCTCTGCCCTTGTTCCAAAACTCACATTAATTATTTTTAAAAAATGCATTTAAAAAAAAGGAGCATTAAATGTACTATTGCTCTAATGTTATGTTCTGCATTTCTGGGTAAAATAAGCCTTTTGTCATCTGAATTATCAGTGTTGTATGTGAACCATGTCTCCTACCAAGGGACTATACACTGATTTGACTTGTATGCAGGACTAGGTAGTTTAACTATCCTTTTCCACAGTTATCATAATCCTCATTTATTAGTATTTCATGTTTATTTATGCAGGTCTATTACGGCCTCTAGTGGTTCAAGTTTGTACATGTAAAACCTATGTGCTCATGTACCAAAAGCTTATATTATGCTAGGAATTGACAAATGATGGACTGCTGCAGTGCAACCTGTGAGAAACAGTGCATTTCAGTGGATAAGGCTTGGGGACTGTATTTCAGGAGCCCAGTTCTATTGTGTAGATTGATTGCTAACCTTGGGCACTTAGCTTCTTTGTGCCTCAGTTTCCTTATTTGGAAACCAGATAATTTACAAAATGGATGACTACCAAAACCTAGGTGCTCCTAGTACAAAATGCTTACATAATAGCATCTATAGGTGATGTTTTCTGACACCTGTCCCAGCCTGGTGTGCTGGGACCTGCTCTTGGTTATAGAAGCCCTTCATTACTTCCCTTCTGAACTACAGCAAAGCAATGGGCACAAAGCCATTAGCCCTTATGAAATTCCAGCTAATAAAGAACACAGTTACCTATCATCTTTGTAAGATAGGCAACTACAAGCACATATAATCTGTTCTTAGCTGTCTGCCCTAGCCTCCCAGAGAACATCACATTATGCTAGACATTTCCATTTTTATCACCAAGGGATATCCAAGACATCTAAAACTCGCCTGGCTCCACAGTCCAGATGAGTGGTATAGGACCTGCCCGTGGGCCGGATAAATAGTGTGGGGCTGGCCCTGCTGGCCAGATTGGGCTCATGGATTCCCCCCTACCTCAGATACTGGATCCAGAATGTGGCACCCACTCTGGCCAGAGTGGGTGCTGGATCCAGCATGCAGGATCTGTGTCTCCCCCACGTGCCGGATCCAGCAGCACTGTACATGACACCCACTCCAAGATCTGTGCTGCATGCAGTGCCTGCCTCAGACTGGCTGGAGCAGGCACTGTGTCTCACTCGTCCCAGATCAGTCAGTGGTAGCTGTGTACAGCTAGGTGGCAGGTGCCACAGCTGCTAGATCCAGCATGTAGGAGTCCCAGACTGGGCCTGTACAAGGGCTGCATGCAGTGCAGGTCCTAGAGAGGGTCCTGTGTGCAGCATATGTCCTGGTCCCTGTCACAGGGCCAATTTGGTGCATGCTCGTGTGGCATTTGTGTCAAGCTGAGACCCAGGGCCAGCTCCAGGGGCTGGATGATATGGCTCTGAAGGCTTGGTCCTTGTCCACACACTGCATGGATCATATGCTGGGTGGTTGCCTCCTACTGTCTTTCCCCTGACTGTGTGGGCTGCACTGATGGGATGTGGTCCCTTCGCCTCCTGCCATGTAAGTTGAATTGTCAGCACATGGACGCTACCCCACTGCTGCATGGGCTATGCAGTCAGCACATGGACCCCTGGACCCTGGCCCAATGCATGGTAGTGGGAGAGGCATCTGCTGGCACCTATAGGGCATATGTTAACTCAGGGCTGCTTACTGAGTTTTGGCAAGCCATCGAGGGCCACATGACAGGCAGCCAGGGGCAGATAAATATTAATTTTCTAAATTTTTTAGAATTAAAAAAAATTGGGCTTGTGGGCTGCATTTTGTCTACCCCTGTGTTAACCACTCAGGGGCTGCATGTCACCCATGGAGTCCATGCTGCCCCCTCACAGACCACCAGATTGACAGCTCTGGTCTACCTAGAGCTCCTCCGAGTAGGAGATAGAATTTTCTTGTGGGCTCTGGAATAAATTTCCCCAAAGCACTGAGGACCATCACAATCCTCTCTACCTTACACTTTAAGTGCAAGGCACATTTTTTGATTACCTTCTCACAAAAAGTGTGTAGTTATGTGCACTCTAAAAAAAAAGAAGTTCCCAAGAAAACCTACCACACTGCACATGCAATTCTCTCTTTGGGCAGGAAAGGAAAAAGGAAGCCACAGATGAAAGATGTTGCTTAATGCACTATTTGTAGGTGCTAAGATACCGAAGAGGTAAGAATGTTATATGATACATGAGTAGGCATTTGGGGCAGGAGAGAAGGGCACCAGATTCCATACCCATTAACACTACAGCTTTAAATCATAATCAGAAGTGAGTTAGAAGCACAAACAGTTCATTAGAAATAACATAGCTCAATTTGTTCTGACACAACCTTGTTTGCTTGTCTATCATAATGCCTATCCTAATGCCCAAATGGATAGCTGAATGCCTTAATGCCTCAACAAGTGGATGGAGTTCCTACAGGACATACATTAGAGTAGCTTAAGCAGCACATGAGGCAATGATCCCTAGGACAATAATTCTCAACCAAGATGCTCTGGCACCCTGGGTTACCTTCAGTGCCTTCTCAGGGTTCAACGTGGTGCCAAGCAATGTTAGCGTTGTTAGTTATGCAAACATTACAAGCTAGATAAATCCAGGGATTTTAAACAGAAACCCACAGTGTCAAAATCATTCTGACCTGTTGTGATATTTCTGAACTCTTTGCACCAAAAAAATTGCTTTATTATTTTTCTGTCATCAAAAAACAAGTGAAGAAAGCTAAGAGCTGGTATTTTCTGAGGGGTGCCTTAAGTTTAAAAGGTTGAAAACTACTGCTTTAGGATATGCAATTCTACACAGAGCTTAGAGGAAAGAGGGTTGTTCAAACAAGTAGAATGGTTCTGTCAACACTGCAGAAAATCAACAAAAATACCACAATGTATTACCAAATACCTCAAGTATACACAACAAAGAGTTTCCATCATATCTATATTGATTATGAGTGTGAGAAGCCCTATCTCCAGCTGACACAGTTATGCTGGCAACACCACTGATGTGGATGGAGCTTTTATTTTATTTAAATTTTCTGTATTCCAAGCCAAATTAGCCAAAACAAATTCCAAATCCGAGAGTCAGTCCAGAACCACAAGTGGCCCTACTACTGGCAAACATCCTCCATCCCAACTGGGGGCTTCAGATGTTTCCAAAACCTTTGGTGGGCATCCTACTTGCAGGCCTAAGCCCAGAGGCTTGGGGCTCGGATGCCCCTGAGTTTTGCTTGCCCTCAGGCATAAGGCCACAGGAGCAAGCTAGGGAGGAGTCTCTCCTTTCCATAAAATGGGCATAAAGCCAAGACCTTCACACTCCAGCAGCTAAGTGGGAGGTTTACTATACATGATCTTGGCAGGTACTATCCCCGTGCCAGGAGACTGGTTTTCCCCAGGTGCAACTAGGAAGACCGCCTCAGTGGTCACAGTGTTTCCCTTGCCAGGCAAGCATAGGACTACGCTTGATCTGAGCCGACAAGAAGCTGAGAAGCGATGGAGCTACACTGATAAAAGAGTGCTTTTGTCACTTGAGCTTACGTTGTTTGGAAAGGTGGTATAGCTGTGCTGAGAAATTCTGTTGGCATATGCTGAGTTTCCACTGTCAGCAGCATAGCTACAGTAGCAGAGGCTAGTCTGTAGACAAGGCCATAATTACAGAAAAGCAACCATATACCACCAGAAGACACTGTAATCCCTAGCATCCCACTCTCCTCCACCAACTAGGCATTTGTCTATGTTAGTGTTGTATCCTCCAGCTTCCCACCACTGCTACTAGGAATTCAGCATCACTTGTAGTGCCAAATGGACATGCTAGTAAACCTAGCTATCAATGTCTTAATCACGGTATTGCGTAGACTTGGACTGAGTAGAGTGAGCCAACACAATAGTCAAAATAAAAATGCTTATGGGAGCCCTATCTACACTGCCACCAGTGGAGCTGGGTGATGTCACCAGTAGTCTTTTTAGGAAAAAAAGATAAGGGTACATGAAGTCACTGTCTTATTTTTGCCTCTCAGAGTAAGGTCCATGTCTTCCTAAATGCTCACAACCGTGGTGCCTGAACCAGGCTGGGACCTCCCCCTCCTCTTTTCCCACCTGTTGTATTCTTTACTTGTTTGCTCCTCCAG